TGAGGGTTTAGTACAGGGGCCTTAATAATTGGAATAGGGTTTTGGGGTATATTGTTCTATGAACAAGGAGCCTGAAACAATGTTGGCATTCAATTAATTGGGCCCCTATGTGGAATCATAGACACCCTGTGATTAAGGAACGTGGCATGCAAAGGGGGACTCATTCATGGGGGGACTGCCCTCACAGCTTGAAGCACCTGGATTTCAGCACCCTAAACCCTAAACCCTAAACCCCCTAAACCCCCTAAGCCTTAAACCCTAAACCCTAAGCCCCCTAAACCCCAAGCCCTCTAAACCTTAAGCCCTAAACCCCCTAAACCCTAAACCCTAAACCCCCTAAACCCTAAACCCCCTAAACCCTTAAAGTGAGGGAAGGAGAAGAAGGTTTTGAGGTTCAGAGAAGGGTGTCGCTTGAGGGTTTAGGGTTGACGGGCCCTCTTTGATAGGCCCTAAGCGCTAAATTCCTAAACCATAACACCCCCGTGAACCCCTGAACCCTAAAACCCCAAAACCTTCCTAAACCCCTAAACCCCTGAACCCCAATACCCCTAAAACCCTATTTAACTCCTGAACCCCTGAACCGCTGGACCCCTAAAACCCGATTTAACTCCTAAACCCTAAACCCATAAACCCTAATCCCTAAACCCTAAACCCTAAACCCATAAACCCTAATCCCTAAACCCTAAACCCCTAAACCCCGAAAAGCCTTCCAGTTTTCGGACTTGTCCAGGTCCGAGAGCAGCCGGCGCGGCGACAGGAGGCGGTGCGACAGCGGGTCTAGGAGGAGGAGCAGCGGTGCCGTTCACCTCAAGTTTAGGGTTTAGGGTTCAGGGTTTAGGAGGAGGAGGAGCAGCGGTGCCGTTCACCTCAAGTTTAGGGTTTAGGGTTCAGGGTTTAGGAGGTGGAGGAGCAGTGACGTTCACCTCAAGTTTAGGGTCTAGGGGTTTAGGGTTTAGGGCGTAAGGCCAATTGAGCAAACACGGCCACCGAAAGTACCGGGGCCCTCGCGAAACGGGCCCTAAAGCCCTAAGCCCAAACCCCCAAACCAAAAAACGGGCACCGAGAATGACGAACACATCCAAGCAGCCAGCTGCACCGCCGCTGCCTCTGGACTACTTCTGGGTTCCCCAGTAACTCCATTGACTAGCTCCTATTCATGATTCAGTTTGAACCAAAAAAAACCCTAAACCCTAAACCCTAAACCCTAAACCCTAAACCCTAAACCCTAAACCCACCAGATAAACGACTTATACTACTGAGGCCCCTGTGTTTTGTCAAGATGGAGGCAGCTGGGTAGTTGGGTGGTGAGGGTCCTGGCTGGTGCATTCGGGCATAAAAAAACGCTTCTGTTTGAAACTTAGGGTTTAGGGTGTGGTTCTTTGCGGAGTGTGGGCTTCGGCTTACGACTTTGGTCAGTTTGAAAGCCTACCCTCAAGCCCCTGCACCCTGAGATCCCCAACCCTAGCCCCCAAAGCCGAAACCTGAAACCCTAAACCCTCCCCTAGAAAACACTAAACCCTCTCCTAGAAAACCCTAAACCCTAAACCCTCCCCTAGAAAACCCCAAACCCTAAACCCTCCCCTAGAAAACACTAAACCCTCCCCTAGCAAACCTTATAAACCTTGAGCCTAAACCCTAGAAAGCCCCAAGACCCTCTTGGGAGCCTGAAGGTAAGGCTCCCAGGTCTCCCGGTAAAGGGATGCTGGCTCCGGGTTTCAGGGTCTATAGGGTTTAGGGTTTAGGGTAATGAGATCTAGTTCAGGTTGAGGGCTTTAGGGTTTGGGGGCTAGGGTTTAGGGTAGTGAGGTCTAGTTCAGGTTGAGGGCTTTAGGGTTTAGTGTTTCGGGTTTAGGGTTTCGGGTTTAGGGTAGTGAGGTCTAGTTCAGGTTGAGGGCTCTAGGGTTTAGGGTTTCGGGTTTAGGGCTTAGGGTAAAGAGGTCTAGTTCAGGTTGTGGGCTTTAGGGTTTGGGGGTTTGGGGTCTTGGAGGAACAACCCCAACCACAACGCCTGTGAACAACGAAACATCACTCCTGAGGAGAAGCCAGGTAGTGCTCTCAACCAAACCCAAACTCTTAATAACTTAACCCGAAACCCTAAACCCTAAACCCCCCTAAACCCCAAACCCTTTAAAGAGGGAAGCCGCGGCTCCCAAGCTTCCAGAAGGGTGAATAAAGGCGCGTAGAACTAGGTTTGATTGTTTGGCATCTTCCTCCTGACGGCACTTAAAGGATCATGGGACTTAGTAAGTAGGGTTATAATTAAGGTAACTATACTTATATTACTTATAACCCCAATTAAGGGACTTATAACCTTACTTACTAAGTCCCATGATCCTTTAAACACACTCCGCAAGGCAGATGACGAAGGCCCTTGGCAGCCTCATGTGGCAGCCTGCAACAGCGTCCACGCTTGCCGCAGTCTCCAGCAGGCTTCATCGTCTGCAGCGGCGTGAAGGCAAGGTTTACCATGCTCACAATGTGGGAGTTTCCGAAGATAGGGGACCCTAATATAGTACCCTAATTAACCCTAAACCCTAAACCCTAAACCCTAAACCCTAAACCCTAAACCGTATTATAAGGACCCCAAAATAAGGTACCCTAATTTTCTGAAACTCCCATGTCCAGCGTGGCGAACTTCCCGATCTGGCTCGGGCTCTTCGGATCATCGCCTTGCACCAGCCACCCTGTGGGACTTTCCGAAAATAAGGGGTACCTTATTTTGGGGTCCTTATAATAGGGGTCCTACTATTTAGGGTGCTATATTAGGGTCCCCTATTTTCGGAAACCCCCATGTCGGCACGATGTTGCTGTTGCCTTTGCTCTGCGAGCCTTGTCCAGCAGAGCGTGCATTCCAATCGATCAGCGCAAGCTCAGATCCTTGTAGGGTTTAAGGCTTAGGCTTCAGGGTTCAGGGCGGAAGGTTTGGGGTGTAGGGATCTGAGTTGTGATCGCGGTTTTGCTTCGTCACAAACCCAGAGCGTAGTATATCCAGGAACCCAGCTAAAGTAAACTCTGCCATGTGGCACAGAGGACCGGCTGCTATAAACCCGAAAACCTCAATCCTTAAGCTAAGAGTAATGTATAGGGAATCCCAGCACTAATTGTCCGTAATCCGGTTTCCAACTTTTTGGGGTGTACTATAACTCCGAGGGGTTACTTAAATTCTGACCTACTAAGCGGACTTTAGCAGTCCCCTAACCTGCAGCCCTAGACCCCAATACCCCAAATACACCAAAAGCCACAAAAATCGTAACCCCTGATCCTGTCCCCTAAAACCCTAAACCCAAACCTTACAAACCCTCAACCCTACACCCAAAAACCCTAAGACCAGCAGAGCCCCTCGATAGACCCTAAACTCTAAACCCTAAACCCTAAACTCCCCAGAGCCGCAAAGCGATGACGACCTGCCTCTGGGCCCTTCATGCCTGGGATGACGTCGAAGGACACCAAGTCACCCTGGCAGTCAGTGGGTTTAGGGTTTAGGGTTTAGGGTTTAGGGTTTTGGGTTTAGGGTTTAGGGTTTAGGGTTTAGGGTTTAGGGTTTAGGGTGCAGTCAGTGGGTACCCTAAACCCTAAACCCTAAACGGTGGGGCGTTTAGGTTTTCTCAGGGTTTCGCACCTTGGGGCACTTGGGTTTATCAGGATGGTTTAGGCTTCCCAGGGTTTATCCTTTAGGGGTTTTCGGGTCTTGAGCATTTTAAAAGGGTTTGGAGGTTATGATTTAAGGGTACATGCAGGTGTGCGATCGGTAGTAAAGAAAATCTACAGAAATTGAAATGAATAGTTTCGGAGTCTACGAAGACTTGACAAGATGTTCAGAGGTCGTCTCATGGTACCCTTCAGATACCCTCACATTTCCTTCCAAGGCTATTCCCTGAGCCATGTTCCTTCAAGGCTTAAAGACCAATCTCTGTACGGTCTACACGTACCTACGACTCGAAAACTCGAAGCCCATATACAGCCGGGCCCAGTAAACCCAGGAACCTTGTTTGAAATTGATGCGGCCTCGTACAGGAGTCGTACCCCGATAGCAATGAGTCCTTTTCTCCTGCTATTGCGCGCGGTTTGCTCCGGATTCGCTTACCACCTTACGTGCTTCCTGAACCCAGCTTAGCAACTACCGACCTCGCATCCAAGCTCAAGAATCTCCTCTAAGGGGATGCCTCATCAAACCTATCTGATCCCAAACGGCACCATGATTTCTGGCAGAGCAAGTCTAGGCTCTGTTGCTGAACACCTTTTCCATGCCGTGTGTGCCAACTCATAATCACTGCAGTAGACTTTGCCGCGTTTGCGGAAAGCCAGACCTGTACACTGGCGCAGCAAGGATAACCTGCCGCACGGCCTCTGCAGAGTTAATGGCTCGGGCGTCAAGAAGACTCCTTCGCCAAATCCGGCTGCGTAACAAACACACGAGCCGTCACGAGCCGAGAGTCGTAAGACCTCATCCCGAAAGCCTGAGCAGTAGTGCCGTAGGCACGGAGTGTGCTCTTGCATTGCCCTGGCAGTGCTCACGACTGCGCACATCCACATCTTCGCCAGTGCGGGGGCGGCTTCACAGCTTCTATGGAGCCCAGCAGGTGGGATAGCTTCCTCAGCTCTGCAGGTATGGAGGATTGTAGCTGATGTCCCTAGCCCAGTCTTGTAGAACTTTCACAGCAAAACTGGCTAGACTTGACCATCCGTAGTCGCGTTTACATGGGGCTTTCTCGCAGTCCTCACAGGAAGGATCTCCTTAAGTATGGCTCCGACTATTGTGGGTACATGTTCAGGTCCCTTGACTATCGGCTGATGACTTCGGGCTACTGCCGGAGTCAGCATTCACCGGCGCGAACCGGCACGAAGGACGGCTCTAGAGATGTTGTTCATACATGTGTATATATATATATAATTATAGATACTATATTCAGAGACAAGAGGGCAGGCCGGGCAAAGTGATCCTGCATAAACTCACTGTGCACAGAAGAAAAAGAGCAGAGAGACCTGAGCAGCCAAGCATCTCCAGTTCTCCGGGGTCTGCACCGGCCTCAATAAGTTGCTGCACCATAGACGCGTTCTCCTTCATGGCAGCATAGTAAACTGCCGATCGGCTGTGCGAATCCTTCTTGTTGACGTCAGCCCGCGCGGCCAACAACGCTGTGATGACTTCCGGCGTGTTCTTGATGCAAGCCTGTACGAGGGGGGTTCGACCCATCTCGTTGCGAAAATCCAGGTCCACACCCTGGCTGATCAAATGCAGCGCGAGATCGTTGAGCCTCCCTCGCACGGCAACATGAAGCACATTGCTCCCGAAGTCTGCCAACAGCAGGTTTCCCTCGGCATCGAAACCGGCGCCCTCGTCGAGCAGCTGTCGCGCCTCTTCGAAACGACTGTCGTCTGCGGCGCGGACGAACTTGCTCAACAGTTGGCGGTAGTCCAGCAACTGCCCTGGAATTCGGACGATGACCAAGTCGAGGGAAGGGTCCGTAACGTCGTCTCTTAAAAGATCCTTGAGCAGCGTGGTCTCGTTCTTTAAAGTCACACCCTGCTGCACCAACTGTATGGTGAAATCTGGCACCCGCAGCTCACTGGCCACACGCCTCTTCACGCTCAGCACCGGCTCCTCAACCCCGATCTGAAAGCACACCTCCCGCCCGCCCAACGTTCGCGAACTCACCGTCACCTCTGGAGCAGGGCGTGCCATGCCCTTCACGTCGGAAAATATCGGAAAGGAGAGGTGAAAAAGCCTTGGCAGCTTGAGCCCTCAAGAAAAAGCGCCGCCTGCTTTCGAAGACAGTTTCTGGGATCGGGTCTACTGCCTTACAGCAGAAACCCCCAAAACTAGTATTGGTATTATTTAGTTAGGCCCTTGTAGTAATTCATGATTAGACTAGGAGTGCATGATGGTATACTTGGAATACAGGAGCTGCAATATGCGTGGTGGGGAAACTCTTGCCAAAAACTCGCACCCATGTAGCTCTTGTCGGATGACAAGCATACGTTATATGTTTTGGAGATATCTATATAGGAAACCATGGTACTAGAAAGGAACAATGTAAACAAGTAACCAGAGCCGTACATCGTAGCCTGATTAAAACGTCATGCCAGTGGTTTAGGGCTTTACAAAAGCTTCAGCCACACGTGCAGGGCTTAGGGGCTTGTGGTTTAGGATATGCGTAGTTCTCTACATCAGGGTCCCTTCTAGGATCCTTTTCATAAGGCTGCCGTACTATTTAATTTTGGGGACCCAAAGGCTTACTTCCTCAGTGAGCTAGGGTTTAGGGTTTAGGGTTTAGGGTTCAGGTTACTACTACATTATAAGAACACCAAAAGCTTGAAGGTCGGGTATTGGGGAACTAAGTCTTCAAGAAAAGGTACCCTCATTTAGAGAGCTACGAGTACCCATACGAGGTCTGGGTCGTTTGAAAACCCTGAATCCTAAACTCTAAACCCTAAATCCTAAACCCTAGCATTCCTAAACCCTAAATCCTAAACCCTAAACCTATAAGTATAAGTGCAGGCCTGACATCCACCCGAAACCCAGGAAAGCATCTGGGCCTTGCTACACTGCGCCCCAACGAGCGCAGACCGCATCAGGAAAATGTCCTGAGGCAAGGTTTAGGGTTTAGGGTTTAGGGTTAAGGGTTAAGGGTTTAGGGTTTAGGGTTTAAAGGCTATTCCACCTACCCTCTTCGGGGTGAGGGGTGACTTTGATATTGAGGACTTAGTACAACCAGGTTAAGTCAATCAAGCGTCTACTCTACAAGTGCCCGAGAACACTGAACTCCCTCAACATGAAACTCAATTTCTGTTTGCTTGGCGGTTGATCGAGTTTAACCGCCTGGGACCGAACATGTCCAACCCTACGTACACCATAAGCACGGAACCCAACCCGAGGTGTCCAAGTATTGCCAGAGACCGAAAAAGGACATAAGCACAAGCTGGGCTCAAGGAACTTAATTCGAGCTACCATAACAAGCAAACTTCCTTGACAAGAAACCAGTAAATAAGCAAACTTCCTTGACAAGAAACCAGTAAATAGCTTCAACCCCTTTATGTAAACTCTTCGCAGCCCCTCTAACATCCTTAAAGAAAGCCCTTGAAGGAACCCCTTGTAAGGAAGCCCTCAATTAAAGGGAACCCGAAACCCCAAACCTTAATGGCACCCGCACGCTTTGCTTCATATTGTACAATGGTCAACCTCAACGTCCTCTGAGCCGCGCTAACCTAAATTGGCTGCGAAATCACGGCTTAATTAGGGTTCAGGGTTTAGGGTTTAGGGCGTTGGTTGTGGGTGTAGAGTAGAAGCCCTCCTTCATAAGGGATCAGGGGACGTAGTAGTAAGCATGGCTACTTTATGAGTATTTGTACCCGCCCGTACGTTACTTATAACCCTTCTAACTAAGTAGGTCTCGCTATTAGAAACTCATCGTTCTCAAGACTGCCGCCACAAGAATCTGGTCCAAGGTTACCTGCAGAGCTACAATGTCACTATAACCGATATAGGGGCCGCCATAATTAGAGTAGGGCTTTGGGGTAGGCTGTACTAATTATAACAAGGAGCCCCCGAAATAGTATTGGTAATTAGTTAGGCCCCTATAATATTCTTACCTCTCCAATAAACCAGCGAAATAAAAGGTTAAACTTTCAGATCACTACTATATTATAAGAACCACAAAGTTTAAAGGTTGGGTATTGGGGAACTAAGTATTCATCTGCCGCTCGAACATGCTAACACTGACAGAACCCAGCTCCTTGCCATAGAGCGCGTGGGTTTCGGCGCACTCAATGTGGCCTCATGTTCTTGGATTCAGGGTTTGCGCAATGCCCAAAGCTTTTAGCTTAAAGGTTCCGTGCTAAAGGCTGGAAGCTTTGTAGGATCGAAGTGACACCCTGAATGCTTTCGGAACCCTTACCCCGAACCTAAACCTATCAGTGACTCCAAAGCCCCGCTAATCTCTGACTACACCTTCAAACAAGGAAGAAGGTTTCGGTAGTTCAGGCTGTCAAATCCCACCCCGAGCTTAAAAGCTCAAACTTCCAGAACAAGACATGAGAGCCGCAACACTTGAAGAGTTTCACTCGGGACGACTAAGTACCCGTACGCGAACATCGGAGTTCCCGGAACCCCTGACGTCTCATCTCAACAGCGCTGCCGGGAAGATTTCCTTTCCACGACCTGCACCTCCGCCCCCACCGGCACACGAATAGTCGCGGTCTTCCTGCCACCCTGCGCATCCGCGGCCGTCACCTGAAACCGAAGTCTCTTTGTTGGTCGTGTCCTGCCCATGCGCGGCATGCTGTTGAACATTGCTCAGTCGTCGCACGTCTGAGCCTCCCAGGCACGCCGTTCCCGTTCATAATATAGGAGCCTGAATAATTAGAATGGGATTTTGGGGCCCATGATACTATAAATATACTAAGGAACCCCCAAAACATAGTCTAGGTAATTCACCCTAAACCCTAAACCCTAGACCCTAAACCCCTATACTAATCCCGGCCCAGCTCTTCCTCTTCGCGATCGAGCCGTGACTCGGAGGAGTTGCCCTTCTCGCCAGGCTTTGGGATTTCGGGCCCAGGGTGCCAAGGACAAGAGTCGATGGTCCCACGGCTTTCAAACACTGGGCTTTTTTTAAGACATGGTTTCCAGCACCTGAAGAGAACACTGAACCCAAAGGACCCTTAAACAACCGAAACCCTGAACCCTTACTAAACCCTAAACATCCCTACACCATAAACCCCAAACCCTGAACCCTACACCGAAAGGGCGCCAAATCCCAGAAGAAGGAGTCTTTGTGGCCTTTCGCTTTAGTAGGGTTTAATGATTCGGGTTTAGGGTTTATGTTTAGGATTTAGGGTTTAGGGCTTTGAGTTTAGGGTTAGTAGTAGTAGTACTACGTAGTCGTAGTAGTAGTAGTCGTAGTAGTAGTAGTAGTAGTAGTAGTAGTAGTACTACGTAGTAGTAGTAGTAGTAGATCAGCGATTCGCAGTTTCCAGTTGACATTTGCATGAAACCATACATCGGGTCTAACATAGGGAGGGCCTGAACAATTAGAATCAGACTTTCGGAACTATTGAACTGCAACTACTACAAGTATGTAAAGTGTACCCAAAGTATACTTGTGGTAATTCTAGGCTGCGGATGCTTGAGGAGACTCAAAAGGGTCCAGAACCGAGACTTTAGGCTCAGGGATTGGGGTGCAAGGGACTTGGGGCTTTAGGTTTTTTCTTACTTCCCCAATAAGCCAG